AATCGGCCCTAACAACAAAAAAAATTTACCAATAGAGACTAATTTGTAAATAATAAAAGAAATCATCAATCTAAAAGTATTTATAATTTGTTATAACCTTAAATAGTTTAAAATTATTAAAAAAAATTGTTAAATATTTTGGTGTTTGGTACAGTACAGTATACCGGATATCAATATTATATACAATATACCATACCAAATATCAGAATTCTAAAAAAAATCTTTATTGAATACCGAAGCGAATTTTGGATTTGTTATTTGGCATGTACCGAATTTTTCGATTCGGATCAGTACGATCGGTGTATCGGCCGAGTGAACACTCCTATGCGTAAGTGGTGGGAGGGAGTAAAATAATAAAGAAGAAGAAAGAGGGTGGGAGGGAGGGAGGGAGGTAGGGTTTAGATGAACTTTAGTAGTGAAAGGGACAGGTAGAGAGAGTCACACAGTCAAAGAAACATGGCCTGGCCTTCAATGGAAATAAAGCATTTTTATTACTACTGCTTCAAATAATTGTCCTCTACCTTAATTATAGCCCTTTGGTTTTTTTCACCCTTGGGGTACACCTATCTATCTACTACATATACATGGCTATCAACCTCTATATATACATATACAATATATATTGTGAATTAATTTATAGGATGGTGAATTCACTATATATACATTATCAACAAATATCTTACATCGATGCTCCTGAGGAAATGTCAAATTATTAAGAAAAAAATCTCTCATGTTTGGGTAATTACAACTAGCTCCCTCAACTATGAATTAATCTTCTTACATGTTCACTTTTGTATATGGTGTCAAATTCAATTTAATCTTCTATATACTGCGGAATGTTCTCTAGTTTGTACTCGTTTTGTGCAAATATACAGTTTCTGATGCACCATAATTAATTGATATTTACAAGCCAAGAGACACATCTTAAGATCATCTTCTTTTAAAATGTGGATGTCAAATGTGGTAAAACAAGTACAAACTGAATAATATTCTTCATAATTTAGAAGATTATTCCACTAAATTTGATATACCGCAAAGATAAATATGTAAGAAGATTCATAGTCGAGGGATGTTGTAATTACCCTAATAGATTTTTTTTTTTTTTTAATTTGATATTACCTGTTCGTAAGATTTACCCTAATATATATATGACACAATTTGCACGAAGGATTTTATTTTTTTATTTTTTTAAACCCACTGTCTTTCTTCACCATTTCTAGGTCTGAGTTTCCTGCTTCCACGTGAGTCTCTCTCTCTCTCTCTCTCTCTCTCTCTCTCTCTCTCTCTCTCTCTCTCTCTCTCTCTCTCTCTCTCCAAAAGAGTTGATTAAGACAAAACCATAAAGCTATGGGACTAGGTACATGACAATCTATACATATATTTACATACATACACCAATCATATAATATAGGCATCACTTGCTTAAGTTAAAATCCGGCCATCC